GGATCGGCAAGCCTCCCCCACAACTTCTCCTGCGGCACTGTGGAAGGGTGGCCAGCAGGTTCCTTCCAATGTTTTCCACCCCTGTGCGGAATAAATGTTGTTCCGTGCACCGAGGCCTGTGCAGATATGCACCACCCACAGACACCCACAGACACAGGGTCCCAGCTCCATTTTGGACTCAATAGGCTTTTGGGGGCCGGCCTGGGCACCTAACCCCCGTTTGGAACGTTGTTTCGATGGGGAAAATGTGTTCCGAGCCCCCAAGAACTGACTTACAAAGGAGCTTTAGGAATGCAGCCCAACCCTTAGCTGGGTTTGTCCTGTCCACGCGGCTTGTCTCGACGGGCGTTCGCATGGGCGGCGGGTAATGCAGGCAAGGGAAGGCTTTGCCTTCCTGAAATTGACTACACTGCCCCAGCATCTGGAGGAGCCGGAGCCGCTCCATGCCCTGCCTGGCTGCCAAAGAAAGCCAGGCCACATGGTAGCTGGGGTTGGGTGGGGCTTGGTGGGGGAAGGTTGTGAAGGGGCGTGGCCTCAGGGAAGGGTGTGGTTTTGGGGCAGAAGGGGCGGGGCTTCAGCTGCCTTCCCCAGGTGGGCCCAGGGTTGTTTGGGTGGGATCGGACACGTCCGTCCAACTGGCTGTCGTCACAGGGTTCGGTTAGAAGCTCTTGCCCCGGTTGGCGTGACACCAGGAGACAGGGCCGTCCAATGGGCAGGATAAAGACCATCAGGCCACAGCTAAGTGCACGGAGGTGTGTGGCTGCTGCAGTTTGGGCTGGGAAGTGACGACTAATCCCAGGCACAAAGCAAACTGCAGGGCAGCAACGTGGAAATTCCTCCGCCCCGAGTTTGGACTGCACATACCGGCTCTTTCAAAAAATTGCCAGAGGATCTTTAATGAGGCCGAGGACCTCAAAGGAAAAGACACAACCCCTTCTCGTGAGGGTTTCTCTTTAAGGCCTGACCAGAGGCCTTGGAAGAAAGGTGAAGAAATCACTAGGTTAAAATCAGCAGGCCTGGTCTCTCGGGTCTTTCTAACATCCAGGACATCAGAGAGAAAACCTGCTGAGCTGGCCAGAAACAAGGTCTTAAAAAACCCTCCAATTTACAGGGTTGTTATTTTGTGTCCTGATGCTGAACTTCTATGGCACCACTTAAAAAACGCTGCCCTCCCAAAAAAGGAGCCAGGTTGTAAAATTGGTTTTACATTGAACCTATTTCCGCGTATTGTCGTAGTAACTAGAAACGGCTCCTGCGGTACATTTTCTGAGCCTGCTACTGACGCTGGGGCCCAAACCCCAAAGGGTTTTAAAGCAATTGCTCCCGGGCCGGTGGAATGGAGGTAGGCGGGGCAGTAATTTGAGGTCACATTCCTTAAACGGAGACCGATGGTTAGAAAGGAAAATAGCTGGCGTGTTTGTTTGGGATGGAGGAAATAAGACTCGGTAATTCCTTTTCCAGCAGCGAGCGGACGGCGCTCTCCCTTCGGAGTTTCTGGAAATGCTGATGCTCGGATCAGATGCCTCCGCTAAAGGCCATAACCGTCCCCGCACGGAATACACCTCAAATCTGGTCTGGACCAGTGTTCCCTGTAAGCGGAGCGCTTCGGCGGCTGCCCAAGAGAGGTTCAAATGCCACCCAGCTGATTAGCAGAGTGCCTACCACTGGCAGCAGCATGTGTTTCTATGGGTGGTGCACCTCTGCACATGCCTTGGTGCACAGAACAAAATTTATTCTGAACACAAATGGAAAAATTGGAGGGGACACTGGTCTGCGCCCTGCTTTCCCCCAATATTAACAGCACCCTATAATCTCAGACTTTGGCTCCTCTCACGCCTGTACTAGACAATGGGAGGTTTAACCTGGAAGCCCCTGCTTCTTCCTTCTTGCTGGTATCGAAAGAACGGGATGGAATTATGATAGTTAATGATTTGCGTTGCCAGAGTTCCAACAGCTCGCGTCACAGAGCAGCGCCCTCTGTGCTAGGCACTGTACAAACTCAGAGCAAGAAGACAGTCTCTCCCCCAAGGTGAGAAACACCATGTTATTTAAGCCCTTTGAAATCTGCTGCCTTCCAGCTGCGGGGTGACAGCTTTAACCCCCTGAAGCACTTTGGCTGCTTAGTGTGGGTTACTCATGGCAGGCGCAGGTCTCTGACATGGCTGGAGCAGCCATGCTCTGCCTCTGAATGGGGAACCCCTCCCCCGGGATGGCTCAGCCAGCGGGAGGGGCAGAGTAAAGGGGGGGGGAATTGTGCACACACACCCCACATGAGCACGCCCCCTGCCGGCTGGCCGTCGCTCACCTCCGTCGGCAGGTACGAGGGGAGGGGGAG